ACCTGTCCTACTAACGGTCATTGCCCGACCATCGACATACTCCTACTATTAATTCCTTTTCACCTCTCACATCAACAAAACAAAGGTCTTCAGACCCCAGTCTCACTGCCGTTGACTACGGTACCTTCCCATGACTCCTCTCCCGGGCTACTATGGTCATCATCCGACCTTCTTCATTAAAAATAACAACGGTCTCTGACCTCTCCCGGTCTCCTGCCATAGTGACTACTGGTCCCTATCCGACCAAACAGAACATTTATATTCACTCCTCCTATTAATGAGCAATCCATAAATACTTATAGTATATTTGCTACATCAATCCATAGGCCGTTCCCCAAGGAAGGGGCTCATTTTGTAATACGATCAACTAACAAATACGTGGATTCCAATTTCAAAAACTGGCCAGGCCCCGGTTCTTATCCTCCCCTTTCATGTCAAGCCGTTCGATTCGAGTATAAGCACGTAAAAATCGGAGACCGTTTGGTAACTCAAATTGCTGTTTGAACCTTCCGACAGCACTTTGAGCCCTTGACTCGGACTCATTTGGGCTCAGATTGGGTTGATCTTGGTGTCGTTGGGTTTGTATTTCCGAGACGTTCAGTTTGACTGTAAGCTCGTTGAAATCGGAGTTCAGGTGGTCCCGGATTTAATTTTTGAGGTTTCCAACTAACTTTTGCCTCGAGATTCGTGCGCGATCAAGCTAATTTTGTGATGACGTATCAACCATAATGACGAAACAAACAAGAAAGTAAAAGCAACGGAAATAAAGGATACTAGCATTTAACGTGAAGAAATAAAAAATGGAGAAAAAAAATCACACCAAGGAATCAACTAAGAGAATTGGGAGAAATGAGTACATATCTCTTTTCTCTCTTGCTCTCTCCTTGTTTCTATTCTCACATGCACCATTCCTCACTCTTGCCTTCATAAAAAATACAAAGAGAAAGCCTAGTCAAAAAAACGAGAAAGAAACCGTTCAATATGTCTTGATGCTGCGGCGCCGGTTTGGGGCATAGTGACACTCAAGCCTCTGTCTTGCACCATTACATCACCATATTCATACCACTGCGGCGATCTACTATCTGTCGTTCAGCGCTGGGTTGTTCGGGAATACAACATCGAGGCACTCGGGTACGCAGCGTTAGGGTATTGTATGGGAAAAAAATCGGGTGCAAAGAAGGGGGTAAACCCCAAGCAACCCCAACAAGAAGGAGGTAAACCCCTCACAACCCCAACAAGCACGATAAACTTGAGATCCGAGGCAACAAAATAATCGGATTGATCAACATAATCAAATTCCACACATAACACAAATAGACCCAATAAAATTCAAAATTTTAGAGCCAGGTTTGAATTATAATTTTTTATTGAACAGATCTTGATACTTTTAGAAACTAATTGAAATATATAACATTTTTAAATATTATTATAATGTTTAATTAGCTATAATTACTAATTAACAGATACTAATTGTCTGCAACATATTCTTGAAGTGTCTTCATGTCGTCATTGCTAACAACATTAGGCAAATAGCTTAATCACTTCAAGATTAATAAAGCATAAATATTGAAAGATTCATTCTCCTAATTGTTGTTTATTAATTAATTATGATTAGTGCTTCTCTTCCTTTTGATGATTAAGAAATTGACAAAGCATGTGCCAGCTGCTTACTCTTGTATTTTAAACGTGCATTTATTTATTTATAAGGTGTAATTATATGATTGGCTTTGACGCTAAATGATGAGATTTTTTTAATAAAAATATGATTAGTTTCTAATGGTGAGATTAGGAAAAAAAGCATCATTTAGTAAACTTTAATCATTAGTAACCTGATTGAATTAACAAGAAAGTATTATAGTAATCAACTTTTCACAATGTTATTTCTAAGGTAGTTATCATATATTTATTTATTTTTTATTTTTTCATAACAAAATCTATTAGAATTTGATCATTATAAAAAGTTTAGTATTCGACTTTATTATTGAAGAAAAAATGTATGATTTCTATAAAAAATTTCAAAAATTCTGTTTGTTTAGTAAATATTTTTACAATTACTTGCACTCGTCTCACATATAGAATATTAAGATTTATCATTTTAGTTATTAGCTTTGGCCAAAAGATAGTGGTGGCACGACTTACGATATATGTTGAATTCAAATTTGCGTGTGGGTGATACTCTTACCTTGTATCATTTTAATTAATTTTTCACAACGAAAGATTATTCTGTGTGGAGTCCAAACGTGTCCGGAGGTCAAATCGGACGCGTTACGGCACCCCAATGCACAGTGTCATATCATCCAATGCATTGTGCATTCGTTGATGTGATGCGCCCGAATTGACCTCCATACATATTCGGGCACCACAAGTAATAATTTTTTTGCAAAATTTGGTATGAAGTAAAGAACCCGAGAGAGAGAGAGAGAGAGAGAGAGAGAGAGAGAGAGAGAGAGAGAGAGAGATTTTTGCTAGAAACTTGAAAGTAAAGATGTCGAGACAAATAAGTTATTGTGTCCTTAGGCTTACATGTATGCCTCCTATTTATAGGTGGGAGTAAAGGCAATGGTATGTAAAAGAAAAGTATATCAAAAGAGATAATATATGATTGACATAATGACTTTACAAAATTTTGGAGATACTGCTAATTATATTTCATTAATTAACCATTGGATGGTTTGGCCCGATCTTATTGAACCATGAGATCGACATCTCTTAGCTAGTTGAGTTGACTCAAGCTCAACACGAGCTAGCAATTTATTAGAGTATGATGATTCTCTAATATATTGACATCAAAGATAATAGTTTGTTTGGCTATTTCCAAGTAAGCTTACATAAGCCTCATTGGCGTAACTAAAAATGATCGAACCGGTTAATGTGGATGAAAAATTGGTGCTATATTATACTATATTGCTGAAATGAAATAAATTATTATGTGTTGGATATATATTTTATTTGGATAGTGAAAATGACATAATCTCTCATAATGTTAAAAAAAAAAAAAAAACTTTTCAACACTTTATTTGTGGGGTTGAGAATACTACATGAAAGATTATATCTACTAAATAATAAATAAATAATGATTGGACTATCATAGACTATTACAGGCGTGTACATGTGGGCACTCATATTTGATGGGACTTTGACTCTATATGATGAATATTTTTGATGAGTTTTCTTAGAAAGTGTCTTTTAAGCTCGTGCATTAAGAAGGTGTCTTGAGTGAGTTCTCTCAGACAAGTATCTTAAATGAGTTCATTTGAGCTTAGCATGATTGAAAAGATGTATATCTCATATAGATGGGGGTTCTTCTGAGAGATGTGAGTCTCCTCAGCTAGGGTGAATCTTTATTTAAGATTTTGCATGAGGCAAGTATCTCATTGGGTTAAGATCTATTGATGTGTTAGTGTATTCTTCCCTCAATCAAAATTATCTAGGGAGTATGCTTTCCTAATCGAATTTCTCTGAGGAGATTGCCTCTCTGCTCTTGTTGAATTCTGCAAATGCAAGTACCACTATTATATATCACATTTTAGACAGGTGCACCTCTTGGCTAACCCCCTCTAAGGAGAGCCCGACTAATCCTTGTGAGTTGTCTATAACCGTATATTGGAGTGTATAATATGTGTGAATATGAGTAAATAATTATGAAAATATAATGATTTTAATCATAAAATTATAAATTACTTAAAATATTTATGACTTATATGATGCAATTTGAATCATCTGACAAAATTAAAAAAAAAATGGTGAAAAGCTCTAAATTATTAGTGTACTATAATTAAACTTTGATAATCTTATTATTAACATTCAAATTATTTATTTATTTATTTCAATAAATTCCTCCACTTAAGACCGCGCAACATGTATAATTAAACAAAAACTATAGACGACAAATGTTTATTGTGCAAAGAAAAAGCCCAAAACTTCATCAAATTCCTTAGGGATGAAAAATAATTTCGTTCATTTTTATTTAGACTATACAGAATTTCATTTATTTTATTTCCAAATGATAAATTTTCAAGTCCCTTAATAAATTAAAAAAAAAAATTGAGTGATCGTTTAATTTAATATAATATTAAGCAGATTATTTTCTGAATTAAAAAAATTAGGACTTTATATAAACATGCGTGGGGGCATTTTTTACGGCTTTCTATGGGCCTTGGGTCTGGCCCATTTATGTGTTGAGAATCATGGATCCTAACAATATGGGCCGTGGATAATGGACTAGAGCGCTAGAGATCCAAAATTGTCCAATAAGAATAATTCTAATTTTATTAGAGATAATTAGGTTAATTGAGGTAGGAAAGAAGAGAGAGAAGTTGAGATTTCTCTATCTTAGTTCAAAGGATTTATAAGAGAACTCAATTTTCATCTTCGACCCTTATGACTTATTATAAATGATATTTATTAAATGTGTTATAATTCATTATTAATATTTTTGAAAATAAAGTATAGTTTAAGGTGGTTCAATCATTTCAACTTAAACAAATTATTGCAACTTAATTCGACTCAAGGTTTGTTTGAAAGGACTACAATTTTTTATAAAGATTATTGTAAAATTGTGATAAAGAAAGCAACTTCTTAGTATAAAAATTTATCAAAAGAAAGCAATGTTGTCAAATCAGGGGAATTAAATTAACAATAAGTGAGATCGTGCGAGTAGCTTGCTGGTTGAGCGAAACTTTTCCTCCCATGCGGTTCTTGTTCGAATCCTCCCAAAAAAAATATAACATTAAACTATTAAATATAAATTTTAATTTCGATCCGAAAAAATAAAACAGTAAAAAAGCTATGGCAAAAGGAAGCAATAAATACAGTGCTAGCATGATTTTAAATCAAATAAATAGGATGCCAAAATCAATAGATGTTATCAAACTGAGAAATCATCTTCATCTGGCTTACTTCAAAAGAATGATTAAACAAGCTGAGAAAAGGAACTAAAAAGCTGCTTAAATGGCTGTATTCTTCATTCAAATCGATCCAAAATGTAGAACAGAGAAAATTCATTCATTCAATTCAACCAGATTTAATCCTATTTCACGAAAAAACCCAAATGAATCAACCTCAAACTGAACCAGAAACGCGCAAATTGAAGTAAGCCAATAATTATTATCAGAAGCAGCAGAAGTAATTGCATGCGAGAACTCCTGGAAGTTGATCTTGCCATCTCCGTCCTTATCGGCCTCCTTGATCATCCCGGTGAGTTCCTTGGCCGTAAGAGCGTGGCCTAACTTCGCCATGGAGTGAGCGAGCTCGGCCGCAGTGATCAACCCGTTGCCGTCCCTATCGAAAAACCTGAAAAGCTTCCGGAGCTGGTCCTCGGAGTACGGCGATTTGGTCCGAACAAGGTCCGGCGCCACCAGCTCCACGAATTGGGAGAATTCCACGAGTCCATTGTTGTTAGTATCGGCCTTCAGAATGAGCTCCTTGAGCTGTTCTGAACTCGGTTTGAAGCCGAGAGCTAGAAGGAGAGAGCCCAGCTCCGGCAGCGTTAGGCTGCCATCGTTGTTCCGATCAAAGGATCGGAAGATCTCCCGGAGCTCTGTAAGCTGCTCTTCCTCCAAATTCACCTTCTGTGCTACACCGCCGCTCATCTCCGATTGCTTCAGCTCCTCTTCTTCTACGGTGTCTCGGAAATAGCGTAGGGGTAAGGGTTTGGTGTCATTTTTTTTCTGCCGGCCATGCCCTTTGAAACGATCAATCTGACAACTTTTCTTCCACAAAATTTACTAATAAAATAAACGAATTCGAGAAACGATGATGACTGTCTGCTCTTTTTTAGAAGAAATCTGATGATTAAGTAATAAAAGAAAGGAGGAAAGGTTCAAAGCTGGAAGTATAGAAGCGAGGGGGCGTTTCAGGTGAGGAAGGCACTATTAGAGCAACAGGATTAAAATATCTATTTGTATTTTTTGTATTGCCATATATACAACTCTCCTCTGTAAATCTATATATAGACTCTTGTACTGTGTTAATAGGTGAATGAAAAATACTTTTATATTTCTGAGATTCTGTTCTCTATTCTCTCTTCTCATACTTCTTTCCCTCTCTCTCTCTGTTACGGTTCAAGAAACAACATCTTGAACTTCTACAGGCACGTCGGCTCCGGTGACCTGTCATCGTTTCCGCGGCTCCGCCACGTTGACAACTTCGTCTTCAACCTCTCGACGCCGTCGGAATTGTTCTCTTCTTTCGGATGATACTGACCGTCCGATCGATTTTGTAAAGCATATTGGCGATAAGGAGGATGGATCCCCGCCATTCATTTTTTCATAGAAGGGCAGACTTTTTCCACGTGTTTTATATCAGAAAGTTCTTACATAATTTTTTCGATTTTTTTTTGAGGGAAATTTTGGATTTTTTCGATTATTATTCCGCGCAATAACTTAATAACAATTCTGGATTTATTTAGTTGTTTATAGTATGAATAGGTTTGGGTTACATGTTGTCAAATTTTTCAAAATTTTAATTTAAAAAATTTCTAGAAACCTAATCCAAAAGAAAAAAAAATGGTCTTATAAATACCCCCTCTTAGGTAGGAGGGAAATACACGTCTTCCACTAGTCTTCTTACAATAGAGGTTTTCCACAGTCTTGAATAGGTGACATCGATCCCCTAAAAAGTACAAGCACCCTCTTTGTGTAGAAAACTAAATTTTCATCCTTCTTTTTTCCCCCATATTCCTTCTCACATTAGAGGCTTTCCATTGCTTTGGATATGAGGCATCCCCTATCAAAACTTAGTATCGCTCTTTAGTGCAGAAGCTCAAATAGCGATTACTCTTCTATCAAAATTCTCTTGATTAAAGGAGATCAATGTCTTGCTGCCCAGAATGACTATCCGAAAAAAAGTCACAAGGTGGCAAAAACTGACAATGTGGTCTCCACGATTACGAGTAATCCTTTGATCATCCTTAGAAAAAAGTTTCACTTACCTAATGATCTTGTGATGAAACTGCCTGAAAAGCCTTATCGGGGGTCTATTTTCCTCCTCTAGGATATTTGACTATCTAGGAGTTCAGTTTATATTCGAGGCTATGATTTCCACCACCTTTAGTGTTGATTGATATTTCAATGACAAGTAGAGTGAGTTTATCTTAGTTCTCATACAGAGCCATGTCGATTATAGTGGAATTGATTGTCTTTTCTAGAGATCGTGGAGCATTTTGACTCCATAGTTCTTTTCTTGGATGTGTTTATTCACTTGTGATATGTAGGGTCGTATTACATTTGGATCCAAATAGCTAGATATCCACACATAAGATCCATTAAAGAGCTAGGTTAGTAGATTTTTATTTCTGTAGAATGATTGGAATCGATTAGATACGTGGAGAAAGCTGAAGAATTTACTCATTCTTCTTCATGTTATAGCAGAAGATATATTGAGGATGTCTAATATTTCTTATGTTGATACTCTTCACTATAAGGTGCGTTATCTGGAAAAGTATATAGAGGAAGAATATTTGTTCAAGGCTGGATTATCTACTTAGGTAGGGAGGTCTCATGTAATTATGTGGAAGAAGTCATCCAAAGTTCAGGAAGCATCTATCCACACTTCAAAAGCTCCCACTAAATGATTAGTAAATGTTGTTGATCCACAGGTCTAATCCAAGGAGGAGATTTTAGCAGGTACTTGTAAATGTCATAATTTTTCTTCATCCAAATTATATATTCTAGAAGATATTATGTTAAAATAAGATTATTATAAATTAAAATTCCACTACATTTTAAATTATTGAAAAATGCCTTTATAAATTTCCATTTGTTTGGCGGTAACCAAAGATTTGCAGCTTATTCTCTAAAAAAATGGACACTATTGAAAGGGGATATTGCATATTCAAGATAGTAAAATGCCTCTCTAATGAGAACAAATGGAAAAGAGAAGGGGGCAATAGCAACTCGTTCTCTTCAGAGAGGGGCATTAAAGCTTGAAAAGGGATATCGTCTATTCAAGACAATGGAATGTCTCTTTTATGAGAAGAAATGGATTAAAAAAAGGAGGCAAGAGCAACTCATTCTCTACAACGAGGGGAACTGGAGCTTGAAAGAGGATATCAATATTCAAGACATTGAAATACCTCTTTTGTGAGAATAAATGAAGAAGAAAAGAGGGTAAGAATAACTTGTTCTCTATAAAGAAGTATACTGAAGCTTGAAAGGGGATATCTCCTAATCAAGTTAATGGAAAGTCTCTCTAGTTAGAAGAAATGGAGAAGAAAATTGGACAAAAGAAGATTGGACAAGAGAAGTGATGCAAATTTCTCCTCCTATAAAGAGGTATTTATATTTGAAGGGAGAGGTAAAACGTTACATAACTTTAAATGAAAGAGTTATCTAACTTTAATAAACATAGTTATGTGATTTTAACGAAGAGGGTTATATAACTTTAAAGAAAATACTTCCATGACTTTTTGGAAGAGAGTTGTGTAACGTTAAGAAAGGGAATTATAGCACTTTAAATTTTTTTTCCCAAAAAATTGAAAATTCTTCTTTTATTATATTAATCCCATAAATAATATATATATATATATATATTATTTATGGGATTAATATAATAAACACCTTGTTAAGAAAATCGTATACAATAATTTAATAAAAGAAATTCCAATGGGCTAATCATTTATTAATAAAATAATTAAAACCAACCATTTTAAGGCGCCGCTTAGCATCGCACAGCTCAACTCTTCTGAGAATGCCGAGGCAATCGTTGGGATCTCCGAGCTCTAAGCTCCAAATCCATGGCGGTAGCGGAAACCTAAATCAGGAGGAGAAGCAGGTGAATCCATCCTCTCCGGAGTCTGAATATGTGGCAGCGGCCGAATCATCATCGGAGTACAAGTTGAAGACGGAGAAGATGATCCGATCGACTTTGAAAACCAGTAGATCTATCCACCTCATCCCTTTCCTCACCCTCCTATGCCTCCTCATCCTATATCTCTGCTCCCACGATCCCAACCCTACAGGTAATCATTGAATCAATCACCTTCCTCTGATCTCCCTATCTTCTTCCCAGATCCGGTCGCCTTCGGAGGCTTGTCCGCTCTTTTAGTTTTCAACGACAAAATGCTGATCTATTGACCGTTTGATCCTTTCTATTTCGTAATGATTTAGGGTTTTTGAATGCTTGTAGGGATCGATGGAATAGATATGGGAGGTTTGCTGGGTCCGGAAAAGATCGGGACGGCGATTGGGAGTCGTCGAGCGCTGAAGAAGGCTGGTCGCTGGAAAATTGGAAATGCTTAGAATGTTCGCCGTAGACTAAGCCCGGCGACACCGGCGACGGCGGTGGCGGAGGTTGCGGTAGAAGGGTGGGTGTGTGATATTTCGTGTTTTAGGGCATTTCGGCTCTGCTGTATTTTCGGGTTGTATTGGATTTGTGCCTATATTTTTATTTTTTGATATTTTTCGTTTTTTATTTCATAAATAAATGAATTATATGTTATATATGTTTTAAGGGTCTCTTATATATTAATAAAATTAACAAGTAATTAGTTTTATGTTCATGATTAAAGTCATAAAAATAAAATAGCAAGGAAATTATCCCAAATGAAATCTTAATTTGAATTGAGCTTCGACAAAAATCAATTAGTAAATAGTTGAAATCCCGGAATCTAGAGCCGCTTGGCCTTCCAACCCAGTTCCAACAATGCACTTCTCGGACCGAGAAAGGGGAGCTGTCGGGCGCAGCATATTAGAACTCATTAATGCTCAATTCGCATCATTATGCTCGATAAAAAGAATGAGGGAAGCTCTAATAGAAAAACATTTGAATGAAAAAATGCTTATAAGATGAATCTCTTCCCATGCAATAATCAGGAATTCTTGACAACATCGAACAGGAACAAACAACATATTGTTCTTAAATACCCCGATTCAATGCCAAAGAATTTCTTGCTGCTACCGTATAATATTAATTTCTATTTGGTTATAAATAAACCATATGTGCCTATTTTGATCTCTCGGATAATTTATAAAACATACTATTTATAGATCCCGAATAACCAACCTTCACATGAATAGCTAACGATCCGATAAGTCCAACATTGATTCCTCCAGATAAGCTAAGTCTTTGATATGAGTTGACTTTGGATTAGCATTTTGTGAATGTTACAATTAGCTCTTTTTTCATGGGATTTAACCTTCATTGTAAAAGATTAATCAGGCGAGTCTTGTGATGAACTTGCTCCCTTATCATATAACTCTCTTTTCAATCTCTGCAGAGAGTAGTGATGTATTTAATGTAAATTGTTTTTTAACATTGAGGTATAATTAAGCATAATGAATTATTGGATGGTCGTTTAATTTCTAGGGACCAAAGGTTGTCCTAGTCGAGTTTTAATATAGTGTTTCCTATGTAACTCTCTCCATTTTGGGCTTCTCTTTATTATATTTTTTGTCAATTCTCTTTTTATGTTAAGCTTTTGGTATAGCCGGTTTACAACAATTATAATTTTTTTGAGAAATAATTACGTGCGGCCACAGAACATCATTCGAAGACTAATCATGCCTCATCATCATTTAGCTATTTTGATATGTAACATGAAACTTTTTCAATGAATATTTTTAGCTAAATGAAGTAGTTGACTTTTCGTTAGTAACATGCTGCAGTGGGCTGTAGTTGACTTTTAAGTTGTCTTAAAACTATTTTAAGAATTGTTCGTATAATAGGATTGTACTAACACGATAATAATAATAATAATAATATAATAATGCAGAAATTGATGCGCCACTTTATAATTATAATATAATGTATTATTTTATTATATGCATGTGAGGGAAATTTTTTTTAATGAATAAATATGACTGTTAATCTGATCAGCGTTAATTAATAATAATAAAACCGTTTAAACTACTAAAATTGGTGGCGCCGTGGCGGTGACGGCGTGGGTTTGCGGACCAATGATTCCGTTAATAATTAGTGGGCCTGGGTTAAGTTGTCCTTTTTCAACTAGTTTTTTATAAAATAAATAAATAGAGTGCGAGGAGTGAGAAAAAAAATATAATAGAGAAAGTAATTACAAAATAGATTTAGGATTATTCGAATTCTAATTTTAGTAAAATTATAGTTTTTTTTTTTTGGGAAATTTTGGGGCGAAGCCCGTATATTGATCAAAAGGTGGTTATATGTGTAGTAAAATTAGCAAGAAAACAAAAGTAAAAAGGCAAACATCAAGGCCCAGGGAAAAGACGAGGTCGGTGGCACGAAAAGCAATATAGTATGTTTCATAATGGAAAAATTATTATGTGCGGGTTCGGATTCATCTGGAGACCAATAAAAATGCGTCATGTCGCCTCAAAAAATATGATGCGTTAGGTACCGAATGCTCGGTAGCGCTCGGTACTGAGCATGGAACCTGACGGTTCTCTCGTTCGGTGTCCGCACAGAATAATCGCTCTTCATAATGAAACCAAATATGGTGGTCGATGTGCGAGCACGTTTGGCAACCCCCATCCCGGGTTTGAATACCCTCTACTACGACCTCGCTTTTTAAGTGGGGCAAAGCAAATGTGGCCTGATGTTAGTGGATGACCTCGCTAGTTTAGTTATGCCACAAAGCACTCCAAAGAAAGTGACAGCAGGTAGATACCCCATTCTCAAAACAAAATTACTGAATTCCGATTTTATTAAGAAGCTTAAATTTTTAAGAGGATAATTTATGATCAAACAATATCACTCTAAAAAGTTACAAATAACCCCTAATTCTTTAATGAGATTAGAGAATTTAGACCATTAATTGAAAAATCAAATAATCTCTCATTTTTGCGTACTTATAGCAAACAAGCAACTCAACAAGCCTAATATCATTAAATTTTGTAGTCATTAAGATACTTAAATAATGAAGAAGTAGACCATGATTAAACGAATCAATGCGGGTCATCCATTTGAGTGTTTTTATTAAGGCTGTGAAAATTGGGCATGATATTGAATCAGATCATTAAGAAATGAAGAAAGAGAAGGGAGAGAGAGTGAAAGGCCGAAAGAAGAAACCAGGCGCAACTGATCAGCAAATCATTCTTAAGGTAAATTTTAATTAATCCTTTTTTTATTGTTATGTTAAAGAACATTTAAATTTTCTCAAATTGCCTATAATTTTGGATTAAGGTTTTAAACTTGATAGCAAACTAATATAATGATCGAAATAATTTAATTTTCAAAAATTTTAATGGATATTTAAGGAAATTCTCAAAGCTCTTCCAACTTCCACTATAGAATCCATCAACATTTTATCTAATTAGAGTAACAACATTATTTGTAACCAACAATATATATTAATGGAATCATTTTAACTGAGTTAGGCCACGTGATTTTAGTTGGGTTAGTACAGTAATGATAGTGCTGGAACGTCGATTTGCTTAAACTTGTACAAATGTCAAATTAAATTAATTTATAATGAACCAAATCAAATAATATGAAAATAAAGCTTAGTGAGAATATTGTATAGTTTATTTACCCACATTGCCCTATAGGTTTGCTTTGTTATTCAATATAAAACAAAATAGTTCCTACAAACACTAGCTACTGACCAAGTTCATTCATAAATACAGCACATAACATGATTTTATCACAAATACGAGTCTGAAGAAATATCAGATGTTTCGAAGTTCATCTCTAATTCCTCGGACAAACACAGATCATTTACAGTCAACATTAACTTTATATTAAGAACCTTAATGATCTCTTTAAGAATTCCAACTCAAGTGCCATTACCAATAAGAGAAGCATTGATGATTGATCTCTGCAAGTCATAGTATCAATCCTTGAGCGGGTGCTGGTTTTTTCGACGATGGTTCGCTCGAAGCTGCATTTGGGGATTCGGAAAACTGAACCTGGGAGAACTCATCCTCCAAACTCTTGTTCTTCTGTTCTTCGGCTGCAACTTTCTCCTTCGTCTTTGATCCGACATCGGCCGCAGCCTTGGCCGCCTTATTGAAGAGTCCAGTCGCCCATGCTGTTCCTGTAAGCACATACCTATTCTTCATGATGGTCGAGCCTGCGGTGCTCACTTTCTGCTCGGCAACGGCGAATGCCGACTTTGTCTTCTCCGAGACCTGGAACTTCTGATCCATCTCCTTGACCTTCTCATTGACAGCTGAAGTGCCTATGCTGATCTTCTCGCTCAGTCCAATCCTCTTGTCAAAGGAAGCAACCTTGGCAGTAGCAGTGGATGTAAACTGGTGCTTTTCATCCAAAGACTTGGCTTTATTCAAAGCATCTTTACCCAGGATGAAGCTCTTAGCTAGCATTGAACTCACAACATCTTCAGCCTTTTGAACTGCAGTTTCGGTGCCCGAAGCCTGTTTTGGAGATGATGGCTATATATTGACAAATAAAATCAAGTTCAAAAAATAAAATACTATAAAGAATAAGACATTGAAAACAAAACACTGAAGGATATTATAGTTTGATTTACCAAAGGAGGAGCTGAAGCAGATGGAGGTAACTCGTAATCCGGGTCTAGGCTGATGATGACCGACATATCGACAATGGTAGCACCCTGTAAAATCACAATAAGGTTAGCATTTATGTCATGATTTCAGTGGGAGCTCTCGAGGACATTACATGCAACAATAGTTTGTTACGGTTCTGGCCGAACCGTCCAAACCGGCCCAGGTGAGGCCGGTTCATACATATAGTAGGCGGGCTAAGCCGCCTCCTTTGATGGCCGCCCAATCATGTAGCCCCCCCTAGGGCGGCAAGGAGAGAGAGGGAAGGGGCATAAGGAAACTATTTGAATTAATGTTTGTTTTAAGAAATCTTTTATTAAGAAGATATGTATTAAAAGAGGAGGAGGCTAAGGTTAGGGCATGCATGATTTGAGTTATTCTCTTGGTGTTCTCTTAGGGTTTGGGACTCTAGATTTATCATCTAGAGATTGGGAGAGAACGATCCTCTCAAATTGAGGATCAATTGTATATTTGTTTCCTTCTTGTTTCGTTTTGCTTTCTATAAGACTGTCTATCATTTGATTATTTTCCCACCATATTTTCTTCCGTTTTCTCGCTGTTTTACTGATTATTTTTAGGTTTGCTTGCGAACTCAAGTATTTCCCATTAGGGTTACTTGCGAACTCAAGTATTTCCTATCATAGTTATGATGCCATAAGAGACAAGAAAATCATTTGAGTGTTTGTTGGTTCAATGAGCATGTGATACTAGAAAATAGAATTGTTACAGAATATTATGAGCAGTAGGGTTCCAGGTACTGTTCTAGAAGGAGAGAGGAAAAAAGATCAGCTTAAGTTCGTTTACATGATTAAAGGTTATCTCTTGATGATGCTGAACAAAAGAAAGATGACTGAATCATATTTAACAACCTGTAGTTTACATAATGTAATAAAGCTTACTACCTGTTACAAGATGATACAACTAAGCTTTTAGGGACCATTTGGTTGCAAATATCAAGAGCATGGAGTGAATCAAAAGTGGATATTTGAAAATTCAGATGCTTGGTTAGAAGAGAAACACATACAAAATATTTTGTTGAGGAATTTAAATACCCACTTAGTTCAATTAATTTTAATGTGAATAAATGCAGATTTTCATATACAATTCCTACCCAACCCTGTCGAAAAATGGGAAGAAAATTTTATTTGGCCCATGTGATTCCCCTATCATCGCCCCACAATAAAAAAATAACCAATTTCTCAGCAACCAAGACAGAAAATAATATTTTCCGTAAATTTCTCCCCAACCAAACTAGTGAGGTTAAATAAGTTTCAATTCAAATTCTTCTATCATTTTCATTACAAATTCCTTTCTTGTCCTTCCTTCAAATCAAACACAGCCAAAAGACAGCTCTAAGGATATAAGAAGAGAAACAGAGACTAAAGACGTCTCAAGGAAATAAAAACAGAACATACCGAAAGAAGAACTGCAGTTTCCGCTCCCTGTTTATCTTTAAAGGTTACATATGCAACTTGAGACCATTCATCATCATCACTGTTAAAATTGTCATATAATCACTGGTATAATTAGAATGTAAATGACGAATAGAAAAAAATCTGCTAACAATGGTAAAGGCATGCCTTTTAATTTCAACATATTCAATATCACCAGAAAAAGAGAAGAATTCCTTTATGTCTTGCACAGTTGCACCAAACGAAACATTGCTGACCTTGACTGTCCTCACCTATGAATCCCAAAAAACTTTCAGGTTTTGGTTCACAACTTCCTCCAAATCAATAAACAAGGGTAAATAGATGGTCAGTCAATTCATAAAAAAAAATCGTAAAAAAGGAGCAATTTGATTTCATTCAGTAAAAAACATTGCTTAAACGGAAGTGCTTTAAGAAGCAACAAAAAAGTTTTCCCAAAGAAAGTCTAAGACATCTACTTTTATGGACCATCCATATGAAGTTTAGATGGGGAAGGAATGCTGGAGAGCGTAATAAGAAGAACACAAAGCTTGTAAGACCCCAAGGTAGTTGTTAAACAATGGTTGGTCTCAAGTTAACATGAGTGATATTACACCTTAAACCGCATACCTTGAAAAATCTGTAACATGCATTCTTACATAGCTCGAGATAAAAAGAATGCACCCTATGGATTCTGAAATTAGAGAAGGAGAAAACTTGCCAGCTTTAGGAGACTTGGTCTTTAGCAGTAGACCGTGATAAGAATACTTAGTTCAATCACCAACAACTATAACCACTTTTCACATATTTTTTCCCTACTAAACAGCATGCTGCTAAAAAAGGACCCTCCAAGGGTGTCCACAACAACAAAAAAAAAACTGAGGCCTTGAGTTGCCTTTTCAGTAAATAATAAATGACACCTGGCAAATTTGCCTTCGACCTATCCGTGATAATAAGTATTGGAAACTATATCTAGCATAAAAGCTTTCAATAAAAATAACAAACCTCTATCCTACTATATGGGATTGACTACATGAATCATTTTTCTCCATTGCATTCTATTAATAGTCAAACTCTCATTTAAATCGAGAAAATGATCAAAATAGTCCCTTAACTTTTAGTGAGGGACCAAAATGGTCCCCAAATGGTCCCCAAGTATTTTGAGGAACCATTTTCGTCCCTCAACTTCTTCAAATAAGACTATTTTGATCATGTCATCTAATTGTAGAGTTGATGGTGTTAAGTATGAGGACAATTTAGTCTTTTTTACTTAAAATATTTAATAAATGTAATATGATAGAATTTGAATGTTTTACATGTTTGAATTTGATGATATTAGGTTTGAATTTGAATGTTTAATAGGATAGACTTAAATTTGATTAGACCTCTCTAACTACATCTTCTAGAAAGTAAGCCTCTTTATTGGCCGAGATAGAGGCAACTACAGCATGTCCCTTGCTACAAGATCTCCTTGTAACCCATCCATCATCCTCTAGCTCTTGGCACAAAACTGCTTTTCAAAGAAGAGGTTTCAATTCTTAAGTTTCAAATGTCATTATATTCAGAATATTCTAAACGCCGTCTTTATCATCATCATATTCACTCTTAAAAAGCCAACATTATCCTTCTAAATCTCATCACCCATAAACAGCAGTTAACCTGCTTTGTATCCTCATTAATCTTTTTTTAATTTTGCTTATGAAAAATTTGTTCTTTCATGGACTAAACTGGCTGAAATGAGGTAGCTAAGGAGAAGGTGGTGGCACAATTATATCATTCGATATAAGAGGTGCTTGTACGGTACAAAATGCAATAACAAGAATAATTACAAAGCATACACAATAATTTAGAGGTTTGGCTGTTGGATGGCTCCTAACTTAATATACTTGTAAGATCTTTGCAATATGGACCTCATAGTGGACTAGATAACAATGGTGGTAGTATCAACACAAACTCAAACTTTTATAGATGTACTGTAATAAACTAAATTAATGCATGTTTCATGAGATAATGGAAACTGAACAAGCTGAGAATATTTATAGAAATAAGAAACATTCTCACGTTGAACAAAATTCTCAAGCACAGGTGCTTCATTAGACATAAGTTCTAGTTCATCTTTTGATAATATTTCAAACTCAATCTAAGCCCTTGTGGTAAACTCAGGCAAATTTAACTAATAATTATCTGTGAGCTGTAGTCCATCATAAATAAAAAAAGCTTCTTGTCACAAATACATTAACAAGGACTACGGTTGTAGATGAACCAAGCATTGGACAAGCTACTCGTGGCTCGGCTTAATTACAGTTCGTTCATGATCTTTTGTTTAAGTAATCAAACAAGTTTGAACAATTTTTTAAATACTCGACTGTTAAATAAATAAACTTGAACAACTATGTATTCCGCTCATTTATGTTCATAAACAATATCAATTAAAGCTTGTGAACAAGCTCAATAAGAAGCTTATTAAGAAGCTTGATTAAATTGTTATTTTGTATATTTTAACATAATTTTTAGTTTTACTATGGTAAATTATTCTTATTATATAAAAATTAATTATATTTTTTATGTTATACTATTTTATTATAATGAATTTGTTCATAAATAAAAGGTATTTATTCATGTTTGTAATATATTTTGTTTAAAGTGTTCATGAATAAGCTTGTTTAAAGAAGAATCATATTATGAGCTTGTTTGTTCGTGAACGGGCTCGTTTGGCAGATTAAAATCACTCTCTATAAATGTTTGTGAACGGCTCTAGGTGATTGCTTGTTAGTAGGTTCGATAAGGCTTGTTTATTTAAAGCTAGAATAAATAGTATAAACGAATCGAACATGAACAAACTACAGTCCAAACATGAACATCTATTCTTTTAAACGAATCAAACTTGAGCACAAACAAAAATGTTTGAATCAAGCTCAAACCAAACTTGAACAAGCTAATAATAAACAAGCTCAAAAAAGAACAAGAATCTACTCGACTCGGCTTAGTTCATTTGCATCCCTAACAAGGGCCATCATCATAGCATGGAGGGAAAGATGATGGAGTTAAGGAAGCTATTCACATTGGTTTCTTGGTGATTTTGGCAATGACTCTTGTGATAATATCTATTGTGAATAGACATGAGAAACTGAATGCATAGATGTAAGTTTGGTTACTGTACGATATAACACATGAAAAGATTTTAAAATGGGTCTTAGGATTCTCATTACAAAAGGAAAAGATCATGAAGCTATGGCACATGTTTTTTTTGGATAATGTTATAATCTTTGGTGATCAGAGAAACATATGGGGTCTATATAAGTGCCTGCGTAGTGGAGAGGAAAATTTATAAATTCTCCAATGATGAGGAAAATAGGGATCATAATAGATAATGATTAATGTGATTCCGAATGACAACGATCAACATAATCATATTTAGTAACCACCATTATAATGGTACGATCTACAAATCCTAGTATAAGAATAAGGTTCATGTTCATTTTCAAGAACTTTTAGGACCATCATTACTTTTCATTGAAATTTCATGCTTTTTCATTAAATTTATTTTTTACAATTCAATTATCCTCTTTAGAAGATATCAGGCTTGAATTTGAATGTTTGGTAGGATATAATTTATTTTGGATAGGATTATATCTTATTTCAAAATTTTGGCTTTAGCTTTGTAATATATTTCAATTGATAGGGACCTCTGTCTTGTATTCAAAAATATTGTTGAACATCTTATGCTATAAATGAAAATTGTGTGATTTCAACGCCTCTCTAGATCCAAACTATGTCCGTGGCCCTCCATCAATTTCCGTATTAGAGCCAAGTTCGACCAAATATTGTATCTTTCTTTGATCAATTTGATCAATAAATCTGTGAACCCTCGAAACCTCTTCCCTAGCCATCAATAAGGCATCAAAGCTCTCCAACAATTCCGAAAATCATACATAGTTGAAATTATTATATGTAAATGGTTAAATTCGTAAACAAGAAACAATCAATTTTACACAGAGATACAACGCATAGTTTCTAACACGCTCCAAGACCTGCTACCAGACGCGACAAGACAGTCCGTAAGGAGAAGTCTCTGCATAGTTTCTAACACGCTCCAAGACCAGACCAAAACTAGGCAACTGAATTATCACCTACCTTATATAACAAGAAAAGCATTCCATCTTAAAAAAGGTCTGATAAATATCCACCAAGCCTTCTTGCTCAAGCTTTCTCTAGCTAATCAATAAAAATATTAAACCCCTAAAGATAACAAATTCTATAACAGAATTAAAATCGAATAGATCTGAGCAAACCCCAAACCGTTCCAAATCAGAAATCCACAAAAAGAAGAAATCAAGCGAAAATGCAAACGAAAGCCCAAACCTAGCCGCACCCATAATTCACGCTGGCGTCCAAAAACCAAAGACGATGGAAAATTAAGCTCCAATATATCTCATCGCATAAATGAGTTCTTACCGCCGACATGGCAATCGACTCTGAAACCCCAACCGCGACCGCAAAGAAGGAGAAACAAGCCTGCGGAAGAAAATTCTTCGAGTACGAGAGAGAGAGAGAGTAATTTGGTCACGAAATGGAAAATCGGTGAAGAAGATGACTACCGATTACCGAAGAACATAGAGAGAGAGAGGGACAGCGCGGGGCTCGGGCCGCGGGAGAGATCTCAAGCTCTCAGCTGCCGTTGGATGGCGGTACTGACGTTGGGGCACGATCTTTGAGAGATCTGTCCCCCGCAGAAAGCGATGCGGAGGTAGCATTAGCAGTTTGCGAACATCTTACGCCGTGAGATTTACTCTATGATTCGCGCCTTCTGATGTAATAATTGAATGAATGATCTCAAATTCCCTTGACGATGATAATCAATAAATAAAGTTATCTTTGAATAAATTCGAAATAAACTAATTTTGGCTCCGTTCGATTTTTTTTCTTTATATGAAAAAGTTTATCATGTACAAATTAATAAGGGAATTTACACATATTATAAAATTTTTATATATTTATTTATCTACGTTGCGTCCAGGAGTATTCGCGGCGGTAGAGAAATATGAAGTTTAACGTCTCAGCATTGTACTAAAATCCAGCGCGCAATCAGATAAGAGAGATGTTCTAGCATTTATGAGAAACCAAGATTTTTACGAGGAAAACCCCTAAAAAGGGGGAAAACCACGGGGCCTAGCACAGTTTTAATGAATCCACTAGTATTGTAGTTGATTACAAATGGGGCCCTTCCTTGTGAGAAGGCATTAGCTTGATGTACATTTTATAGAGTACATTACATGATGTGAATACAAAGAATCACTATTTACATGTTCGTTTGGTCGGGTGGACCATAGTCTGGTGATGGAGGTCAGAAAGACTGTAGTTTGCGGACGACGTAAGTCAGGAGGATCATAGTCGGAAGGTGACGGAGGTCGGAAGAACTGTAGTCGGTGGGCGACATAAGTCAGAATGATCGTAGTTGGCGAACGACATAAGTCAGGAGGACAGTAGTCGGCTGGCGACGGAGGTTGGAACGACATAAGTCAGGAAGGACGGTGTCAGGTAGAAGTCCAACAATGGAAAGAAATCCATCTTCAATTATACGTCCAGCGAAAGTCCGATAACCAGTAGAAGTCCGACGTCTGTTGGTGGCAGAGGAGAACTCTAGCTTCACTTGGGCGGAGTTTTGGCGTTAAGAGGGAACTCTGTTGTTAATTGGAAAGGATCGCGTCAGGAGGAATCTGTCGTACCATTGGCAAATTTCGCGTCCCGTGGAAGTTACGATAGAATTTGGCGTCCCCTTGGAAGTACAGACAGAATTCCGGTTGTCCTGGGAAGTCAGGAAGAATTCACGGCGTCATTTGGTTTGGGCGAAACTCTGGCGTGGTCCGAGAGAGATGTCTAACTCATACTTCTCCCATCACCTTCTTCGCTGCCGCCTCTTCTTGTTTCCCCTTGCTGCTTGTTTTTTGTTTTCGTCTCTCCAGAGAAATGAGGGTCTATTTATAATTTCTAGAGTGGCATGGCCTATAAATGATAGGAGATCAAAGCCAATATGGAAGTGTTAGAATGACGGTCGATATTGAATCCTTCGATCGTGGACCGTTTATCAGGCATTTGAAGGTCTTAATGACTCTTCGAATTTGGAGATCTTGGGCTCGTTGGATTCGTCTCGTCGAGCCGCGTGTCGTCACACATAAGCTCGTTAGTTCGAAGACCGTTGGGTAACTCAGGTGGTACGAACTTCCCAACAGTTGATTCAGTGCCTTTGGTCTCATTTGGCTCGGATTGAGTTGAATTTGGTGTTGTTGGGTTTCATATGTTCCCGCACAACGCTCAGTTTGACTTACAGTTTTGCTAGGACATCGTAGTTTTCAAGTGTCCCTGACTTAATTTTGAACTTCCAAGCTTCTATTTTGCCTGAGATTCTTCGAGTTGGATTCTGTCGATCAAATATTTCTTTCTTGATGACATTTAATATACTCAATTCTAACTTTTTATTACTAGTAGTAATAATAATCTCAAATAAATTAATATACTAATCCACTTATTTCGATTATATATATATATATATTCGTTCACTATTTACATCGCCCTACTCCGTATTTATTATTAAGTCTAAGGACACACTCAATTTTTATATGATTTATTTTTAAAAGATTTAGCTATAACTATCTTATGGCATGGTAGGTGTCATTACCTAATATTATGATACGTCGTAAGAAATTATTGATCAGGGGGGGGGGGGGGGGGGTGCAGAATCTATGCATATATTGAGTTGATAAACTCCAAGATTAAATGACATATGAACTCTGATTTCAGCGAGCTTATAGTACACTGAGCGTCTCAGAAGACAACCCAACGACATCATTCAACCAATCCAGCCAAATGGGTCCAAATCAGGACCCGAGAGCGCTTGTTGGGGAGGTTCAACCACAATTGAAGTTGAACAACGGTCTCCGAATTGTTTCACGATGCCTACTACTCGAATCGAACGTCTCGACGATGACGCAATCAACGAGTCACAGATCACCAAATTCGCGATCATCAAGGCTTACAAATGCTCTATACGAACGGTCCCACGATCACAAGAGATTAATATCGATGTACCATCAAACCATCCCGATTTCGTCCTGTTCACACTAATTTACAAGCTCAGATTGGCCACTGCCAGAAAACATAAATATGAGCCCATTTTACGGTAAGGGCCGTAAGTGAATGAAGGAAGAGAGGAGAAGGGAGGAGGAATTTGGGAGCTCTCATGCCACCGATCACCGCCGGGTTCTTGCATTAGCGCGCGACCAAACGGACAGCTGGCATGACGCGCGTCCGCCCAGACCGCGCCGGAGTTCCATCCTGCGGTTGGCACCGCGCGCGGAGTTCCTGCCGTCACCGCGGAGTTCTGACAACCACCTCGCCGAGTCTACCGACATTGCCGGGTTTTCTAACTCGACCACTGCAGTTTAGCCTGCCAACGCATCGCTTGATGTTTTATACTGCATCCTGAGCTTTTCCCATCACTACCTAATTTTGGTCGTCTTTATCATACAGATTTTTTGTATGTTATTAACTTACTGTAATTCTAGCCTCTCACAAGTAAGGATGGAATAAACGTTGTAACCATCCAGATAATAGTGAAATTTTCTCATCTGGGCCAGGCCGTGGTTTTCTCCTTTCGGGTTTTCCCGTAAAAAAGTTATCTGGTGTTTCTCTCCCTAATTATCTGTGGTGTGCCTGATTACGTATTTGTTAGACGCTATATTTTATCTCTACGCCGCGTATATTCTAAGTCGCCATCAGTTTGGCGCGTCTGTGGAATAGCTTTCCCAATATTTTTCTTCAATTGGCTAATCGAAGTATTACCAGCAATAGATTCTCTCGCTCATTACGATCGAACTAAGATCCATC